GAGAGGGCCCAGAGAGGAGAGAACAGAGTGGGGAAGTCTCGAGGCCCTTCCACGCCAGGGCACTTGCTGAGGCACCCGGGCAATGTCCTCCCAAGCCTCGGTTTCCACTGGAGTCACGGCGGCTTCGCACGCGGGCCTGGTCTGAGGCTGGCCTCTGAGCCTCAGGCGCGGTCACGTGGATAAGACAGACGCAGATTGGCGCCCCCTACCGGGCTGGTCGCGGAGAAACGACTACGTTACCCAGAAAGCTGTGTACTGACTCCACGAGCCAATCACGGCCCAACATAGCTTGGGGGCGGGACTTCCGGCCCCTAGATGTCAACGACGTCATTTTCCGGGGACGGATTTCCTCAGAACCGGAACAGCGTGGACTGGAACGCAGATTTGTGACAATTTCCAGTCTTGTTGGCTTGTTGTCCCCCTCCCTTTCGAGCCTTTGCTGGAGACGTGACCTTAGTGTTCGCCGGGTCCCCACCGGTCCTGTTGCCAGTGTGCCCCCCCCGCCATTTTTGCAGCTCTGGAGACGGTGCCCAGAGCCTCTAACCCCTTTTACCAGAGGAGGGCGAAGACACAGCGTCCCTGGTATGGGCACCCCCGGGATCCACCCTGATCGCCAGCCTCTCCAGCATCACACCTTTCCTCATGGAGTCCCACGGTGGCTGCGGCGGTAAGGGACCGGGCGCGGGTGAGTGGAGAGCGTCTAGGGACGTGGCTGCTTCTCGGCCAGGTGGGAGCGGGAGCCTGGGCCAGCCGGAAGCCCAGGACATCGCTGGATTTCTCTGCAGAATTTTATTCACGGCATGCTAAGCTGGTGTAATAGGTTTTTCCTTAGGCACTGCGAGGGTCCAGGAATCCTGACAGCACACAATGGTTAAGCTTCCCCGCTGCTAACGTCTGCGGTTTGATTCCACCCATCAGCTCCGCTTAATCGCCTATGGTACCCTGTGGGGCGGGTGTGTTCTGTCACATGGAGTTAAGAGTGTCAATCAGCGACCAACAACAGATCGATCAAGAGCAAACACACTGCCATCCAGTCGATTCAACGAGGAGGGTATAGGGATTCAAGGATTAATAAAATCCTAAAGCCTGACAAGTACCTAACGAGAAGCTCAGGGGTGGGACTGGCTCCTGGTGGGTGGGTGACAACCCCAGACTCTTGTTTCTTTGCATGCTCTCCTTGTTCCTGGTCCTCAAATGGGTTCTCTGGCAGTCGCCACTGATGCTGCAGCACCATATGGTGGCAGGTCCCCTCAGTTTTCCTTCCTGGAGCGAAGCTTGCACAGTTTTACCTTAGATGACTGATGATCAGTCGTTTGCACTGTCAATAAAGTTGTTTTATCGGTAATAAGTCTTCTACCTGACCATTGTGTATATTAGCGGCATAGGTCTGGCAGGAACAAACACGTGTGAAACGAGACTAACACTTGTATGTGACGTCATATGTCAACTTAGCTGGGTCATGATCTTCGGCGGTCCTGCAGCTATGTGGTGATGTACTCATCTTCCACTGTCACATAATGATCTGGTCTTCAGACCCTGAGGTGAAGTTATTTCTCCTGTTTTCAATGAAGATTTGCACAACAGTTTAGGTTTCCAGTCAACAATTTATACAGAAATTGTTCAGTACATTTGTTATATTCTTCACAATGCATGAAAAGCCTTGTTCTTTTTCTTCTGGTTGTTCCATTTCCATTAATCTAACTTCCCTGACTCCTTTTCATGTTTGTTTTAAAGTAGTAGTTGATCATTTAGACACCACGAGGTGAATTTCAAAAGGAGCACAATACTTATTAGGTAATATTCTTTTATTTTGTGAGCCAAGCTGTTATTCAGCGAAATGGTGTCCTTGAAGTAGTTTTGGTTTAAAGAATATCTCAGAGCTATCATCTTGGGGAGTCCTCCAGACTCAGCTGGTCCAGTAAGTCTGAAAATTTTTAAAGAATTTGGGTTCTGTTTCACAAATTTCTTCCAATCTACCAGGATCCATGTGTTGTGACCTGCATGAGTACCCTCTAATTCTTCCGGTCTCAGTGTAGATGAGCTTATAATGCTTGTAGACCTCTCGTCATATAGGCTGCTTTCTTTAAATCTTTAGTTTCCTTCTTCCAAGATCCGAGTACAGTACTTTATAACATCAACAGGTGGCTTCTAAGGTTGCTCTGGCAGCTTCCAGCTGGTGTAGGTTTAACGAGAATGTTTGGAGAAATGTCCAACTCACTTCCATATACTGCTCTACTCTCATTCCCTGGGTTTCGTTTAGGCAAGAAAGGTTAGGCAATGGGGTTGAGCTGTGTGCTTGGAGAACTGCTTTGGTGAACATCTCAGTTATCTCCACCCAGCCTATTCTGAACTGGTGGACATAATCGTTTCTATAACATTACATTGTTTGAGGGTAAAATCAAATAGTGCATGAAACTGATCAGCACATGCCTAACCCACAGTAAAGAGTTCTTTAACACTAATATTAATATACCGTATAAAGACATGTATAATCCGGGTTTTTCAGTACATTTGTTTATGCAGTTTTTGTGGTAAAATTAGGTGCCTTGGCTGATATTTGAATCGGCTTATACGCGAGTATATATGGTATTATATGTAATATATACTATATAGTATCATATAATAATTTTAATATTCATGTCATGAGTTGACTTATATGTAAAATATCAATTTCCTATTGAACTGTGAAGAAAAGAACTTGTCTTCCTCTCCTAGTTATTTTCTGCTTTCTACCTTTCCCACCTTCCCCAGTCTCTACCTAGCCTCTCGTCAACCCCTCAGAGACTATTTCAAACTTTACCCATTCTCCATCTTACAGCTTCATATCACTCTTTCAAAGATACCCCAAAATTCAACATGCCCAACATGAAACCCACGCCCTTGTCCATTCTTCTTACAGCCCGCATAGTCTATAGTCTTGTCTTCATTCATTCATTTTTTATTCATCTATACTTTTTAAGATATCCCGAACACTATAGCCCAAGAATGGTAAGCTTATTTAATACCTCACCTATCTCTAATGTACACTTCTTCCTTTTCCTCCTCCCCATTTTTTTTTCCCTATTCTTTTCTGTCCCGTCCAGCGGGAACAGCAACGTGGTTCCTGGATAGAGGGAGCGGGACGCTCAGAAGGGAGACGAGACAGGAGGCTGAGCAGTTCTCTGTGTTCTGAGTTCTCTCTTTATTTTTCCACAAGCCGCAGCTTATCAAGGCAAAAAGGAAGGGAGTGCCCGCGGGACATGCAAATCAGGCTACTACTGAACGTCCAATCAGAAATCTTGCAAAAGCACACCCAGCGCCGGTGGTCAGTAGTTTCTGATCAGGTCCGTGGGAATGACATCACCTTATGCTAATTAGGTGAAACAGCACATATGCTAACTGGGTGCTTGTTAGCCAATACAAATAAGGGAAAAGGCCAAGGCCACCTGGACTTTTCTGTAAGGCAGCAAAAGGAAAGGGAAAGTCTCCACCGCGGCCTGAGGCTGAGAGTAAAGTCTGTTTATGAGAGCTTGGCTGTTGGGGCCCATGGTCCCCGACACTTTTGCACACCCTCACCCTAACCCCCAGAGATAACCCTTTGTCTCAGTTTTGGGTTTTCGATTGCATCCCTTCTTTCAGTGAATGTTTTTATGCATAATAATCAGTCTATTAGCTCTAGAGCTATAAGTTTCCAGTTCTTACTTATGACTATTTTTAGTACTACTGAAAACCTAGATAGCTCAAGAGCTAATAAACTGAGATTGTCCATTTCATTCAAGTGGTCAGTCAATGATTTTCCAAATCATTTTCCGCTATCCTATACTTTGTGGAAGCCCTGGTCAGTCAGTGGTTAAGCGTTTGGCTACTCACCCAAAGGTAAGTGGCTTGACCGCACTAGCTGCTCTAAGGGAGAAAACACCTTGTGTCGCCCATAACGACTGCATTCTAGAAAACCCTGTGGGCGGTTCTGGTCTGTCCTGCAGGGTTGCTATGAGGCAGAGTTGACGTTAATGTCCCAGACAACAATAGCAACATACCCTTTCGTATTATTATATCACAATGTACTCACGTCCTTTCCACAGCATTGATACCCAGGGGATTAAAAAAGTTTGTGGGAAAATGGAATTAAAGGATTAGATAATTTTTCTATGAACATTTTGAACTTTGAAGCCCCTTTGTATTTTTTCTTCTCATAATCAATACTATCTTGAACTGTCATACACACGTCTCCACACAAAACATGTTTCAGGCATTCTCTGATACTGTTTCTAGTATGATGGGAGTTTAGGGCTGCAGGATAAGTAGACTTTCAACTGTTAAAGGTACTTCTCATATTTTTACAATGTTAGACCAAGTTTCACTTCCCCCAGGAAAGTAGGAGAGGATACAATTAATGTGTTTTTGGTTCAATACTAGATTTTGTACACTTACATAATTTTTTTTGCAAGCAAGCAGAGACAATATTACCTCATATGGCCTTGATTTGCATTTCTTTATTACTAAGGAGATTGACCCTTCATTGTCTTTCATCATATGGTTTTGGGGTTGTGGTGGTGGTGGTGGTGGTTTTGGTCAATCTGGGTTATCTTTGAAATCTGAGTCTGATCATAATTGCCTCTTGATCATGAGAGGGTTCCACTAAGATAATCACCGAGAGGAACCTCACTGCATACACTGCTATTTCCACTGTGCCCACCAGCTCCCTGTCCAGATTGTGAGGAGGCCTTGTCCCTGTCTCATCAGCCTCTCCCCTTTCCCTCCCTTCCAAGCAGTGAAAGAGGCAAGGACCAGGAAATACAGAGACGGCCAATTTGGATTTAAGCGATATCAACACACATCAGGTATAAAGGTAGTTTTCATCTTCATATTCTCACTAGGTTTGATTTTTTAATTGTCATTACTAATCTATCCTTTTGTGTGTCTGATATTTTTTAGGGGACAAAGCAAGACTTGAGAGCACAGAGGCAACTGCTCCCAAGCCCATCTTGACAGAAGGAGTCTTATTCCAGGCACATCTGACACACCAAGTCTCTAGGTACTGCAACATGAGATGAGACAGGAGTCAGGAGGGGCCACCAGAAATGCAAGACCTATGCAAGGGACCAGAGGCAGACCCCCAGAAGGAGCAGCTCTCTGAAAAACTAAACATTGACCATGGCGGTGTGGGGACATATAATGAAGTGTGTTCAACGGGTGTACCGGAGCAAGTGTTTCCCGGAGGCGTTCTTCATGAAGGCAGCTCTCATGAGCTAGTTGGACATGTGATGACTCACAAAGAGGAGAAAATCTGTACTTGCAGAGAATGTGGCAAAATGCTGAGCAATAGACACCTCCTTGCTCATCATGAACGGACTCACTCAGGAGCCAAGCCCTGCGAATGCGCAGAATGTGGGAAAATGTTTGGCAAGAACACAAACCTCCTCCAGCACCATGCGATCCACACGGGGGAGAAGCCCTTTGAGTGCACAGAGTGTGGGAAGGCCTTCAGCCTCCGGGCCCACCTTGCACGACACCAGCAGTTTTACACTGTGGAAAAGCCCTATGAGTGCACAGAATGTGGGAAAGCCTTTATCCACAGGTCACACTTTGCACAACACCAGCGGATTCACAGTGGGGAGAAGCCATATGAGTGCACAGAGTGTGGGAAAACCTTCAGTCGCAAATCATACCTTCTGCGACACCAGTGTAGTCACACAGAGGAGAAGGCCAACCAGTGCATCGAGTGTGGGAAGGCCTTCAGCCACAGATCACATCTTGCACGGCACCAGCGGATTCACACTGAGGAGAAGCCCTATGAGTGCACAGAGTGTGGGAAGGCCTTCAACCAAAGGGCACACCTTGCACAGCACCAGCGGATCCACACCGGGGAGAAGCCCTACAAGTGCAGCGAATGTGGAAGGACCTTTGCGCACCTCTCCACTTTTGTCCTGCATAAGAGGAGTCACACCGGGGAAAAGCCCTTTGCCTGCCAGGAGTGTGGGAAAGCCTTTCGTGATCGGCCAGCCTTATTTCGTCACTACAGCATCCACACCGGAGAGAAGCCCTATGAGTGCATTGAGTGTGGGAAGGCCTTCAACCGAAAGTCACACCTCACTCAGCACCAAAGGGTTCACACAGGGAGAAGCCTAATCAGTGTGGCAGATGTAGGCAGATCTTTCACAAATGGGCAAACAGTCCATGTCCAAGGACTGCTATTGGTGACAAATTCTAAATGTAACTAGTGCATCGAGTGTGGGAAGGCCTTCAGCCACAGGTCACATCTTGCACGGCACCCACAGAGTCACACTGACTGACAGTCTTTAGTCCAATGAATCATCTTATTTGGCTCTTGATCTTTCATGCCAAAGGGAAAGCTCACAAATGTCATTCCTCTGAGGAAACATTTTGTCATAGACTCATAATAACCCAGGAGGACAGAGTAGAACTGCCCCTAACTGCCATCATTTCAGATAGCATCCAAGTGCTCTAACCATTGGGCCACGGGCCCTCTTCTTCCTTGTCCACAGTTGCAAGTCGCAGGGTGAGAAGACTGGGGAAAAACAGTAGGAATACCATTGGGTCAGCCTTCCAGTTACATACATGGATTGGACTACAGAGAATAGTGTCCAAGGTGGACACAAAGGGAGAGTTCAGGTGTGGCAATCGGAGTTGCTAGGTTCAGATTAAAAGAAAAAGAAGACAAAGGAAAAACAGTCACTTCCGCCAGAGGAAATGTCCCATCTGTCAAAGAGTCTAGACTATCATCTCTGTACATGTGGTGTTCCAGTCCTTCTGTAGCTAGTACTCCAAACCTTTAGGGTCGTTCAGTAAGAAACATTACCATCTTAGACATCTAATGGTAATGTCTACAATTTTCTCTGACATGTCTCTGGGCTGGCTGGCTGAACTAACACGATGTTGGTTTCTTGTTCTCAACCCTCAGTGTCAGGCTGGTCTTAGGGTTGGTCCTTTGGCCATTCTGGTTTCCATCTACATTCATTTTTTCAGTGATCTCACCTCACATGGCTAGAAACACCTCTCAAACCTGGTCTCCTTGTGTTCATTCATGTAGAGCTGTGTCCATGATCCAGATATTTGGGAGCCACTTCATACTGACCATGCTTGAAATCAGAGTCCTGGGAACTCTTAAGTTGCCCCCACTTGCACCCCCTTCACTTTTTGTTAGGTGCCCTCAGGGCACCTCTGACTCCAGTGACTACAGCAACCGCCCAGTTCCACCCCACCTTCGTAATCACGTTTGAGCCCATTGTGCCATCCTTGCTTCTAAGGATGATTCAGTTGACGACAACAAATCCGATGTTTTGGTGCTCTTGCCAACAAGGGCAGAGTATACACAGTCCAAACATAGCTCCCGTCCAGAACCCCTGGAGAGGGCTGCCTGTGGGATACAGTTGGTCCCTCATGGGACTTCCAGAGGCCACCTTTCAGTGGGTATTTAGCTGCTGACTTACCCATAGTTCCATGAGACAGGTCTGGTGTCAGGAGAGGAGATAATTGGGGAGGGTAAGGATGGTAAGAGGTGGGCAGGCATCTCAGACCTAGAGGTGGTACCAGCTCGGTACCTTTGTACTTACCTGGGTATTGGGTCAGTTACCCCTTGACAGCCTGGATCCCCTCTGAGTCCAACGACAGCTTTACACTTGCTCCTTGTTCCGCTCCACTGAGCGAACTAGCCTCTTGGTTGTGTTTGCAGATAAGACTTAGTAAAGGCACTGGAATCCTGGGTGGAGGTGGGTGCCGCGAACTACATTGCCCAGAAGGCTTTGATTCTTGCGCCGGAGCTTGACCAATGACGGTCTAGAGTGGGGCGTTTCCTGGAGGCACGGGGCGGGGCTTCCTGTGTCTTGTGGTGACGTCATATTTCGGGGCCATCGGGTCCCTTTGGCTGTGGTGCCCTGCGCGGTCTAAGCCCTCAGTTATCCTGGGTACTCGAGGGCAGCATGACGAGGGGGAAGGGGCCCACGCCTCGGTACAAGCCTGACCTGCCCCCTGCTCGGTAACGGGAGTGGGCACTGCGCCCGCCGGGGCCTCGCTCGTCGCCCTGAGCCTGAGCGCCGGTTCCCTCGAGAGACGGGCTTGGAGTCGAGCCAGCGGAGGCCGCCCCGCTCCGGACAGCCTGGCATCGGCTGAGCTCGGGGGGCCGGCGCCGGATGTCGTCCTGCCCGGCCTCGGGGTCCCACGATGGCCGCCGAGCCGAGGGAACAGGAGCAGGTGAGTGGGCGATGCCTTTGGAATTGTGCTGGCCGAAGGGGTGCCGGTCTCCGTTTCATCAGTGCGAGTGGCCTTGGCTGGCCTGGAGGAGTGGCGGGGGCCTCAGACTGTGGCTGAAAGATGAGCGATGCCCTTTACGGGGTCTTCTGGGCTCTTAAACGAATCCAGCCCCTACCCTGAGCCCCGTGCCGGAACTGCCATCGCCAACCTTGACCCCTCCAGCTTTCCCGTGCCCACTGATCTGGCGCCCCCGACCTGCACAGGCCCGTCTGCCAGAGGCGTTGCCCTCGTTACAGGGCCTCCGCTAGAATTCTAGCTGCTAGGATCTAGCAGGTCCTTGAATGCTCTAAAGGGGCCGGCCCGTTACAAAGACTTTCTTAGAAGTTGGCTTGCGCCAGGTCTACCCATCTGGGGGTTGTCGGCTTGAACCCACCCAGTAGCATCTTGGAGAAACCAGTGAGGGCCTGGCAGGCTCCATTACTGCCTTGGTTACCGCGGTTGGTGTTATTGTATTTATGTTCGTCTTCATTCGTTGATATTCGCGGTGCTTACTGCCCGTGTTCTCTAATGACTCGCCATGTAGGAAGCTTTCTTCTCCTTCCTTGACTTCTGAAAGCGGCCCCCAAGTACTGAGTTCCCTCCAGGAGGTGCCGGCTGCTTGGGGACGTCTCTCATCCATCCCATCCGGCATTCTCAAAACTACTGCCCCTCTTTTGACTTTCCAGGAGTCTGTAACTTTTGAGGATGTGGCCGTGACCTTCACACAGAAGGAATGGGGGCAGCTGGATCTGGCCCAGAGGACCCTGTACCAGGAGGTGATGCTGGAGACCCGTGGGCTCCTGGCCTCACTGGGTAAGCCCTGCCCTCCTCACCATGCGGGAGAACCAGAGAAAAGGGACTCCTGCACTCTTGCCCCGAGCATAAGGTGACCGGATTTAAAGCGGGACACCATTGAGTGGGGGTGGGGGGGGATATTTGTGATTAAAAATTTGGTCTATGTGGATCAAATAGACCGTGTTGCCTAGCTTGTGCATTCTTTCCAAAAATCGGGACTTTTTTAAACCACCAAAAAGCGGGACGTCTGGTCACCTTACCCTAGCGGGACGGATCTTGCATCTCGCTGAAGCTAAAGGGTTTGTTGAAAAGACATTTACTTCCTTCAAAATGGCCCAAAGGGTGTTGTGAGGAATTGGAGTGTTGCGAGGAATTGGGGGTGTCTCGTCAAGCCCCAGGGTATGATTTCTCTCCATGAGAGAGCGATGTAGACATTGTAAGGAAGCACAGACATCATGCCCTGGCTTCCGAGCCCCTCTCTGTTACTGTCTGTTCTCCTCGGCTCTTTTTGTAAAGTGGGTGGCAAGCAGTGGCCACCTCAGACCGTGCTGTCTGAGGCCTCTGGAGTTCTCAGTTCTACTTTTCTCTGCATGCTTTTATGGTTTCTCCCTGCACCTACCCACTGTGAGGGTGTTCTTGAAATAGAAAATGGCCACTCCAGTTCACACTTCCTGTGACCATTCACTCTTGTGACCAGCATCGGCCTGCTCTGATCTTAGGTTTTGATTGCATACTGTCCATAGGGATTTGACCAACCAAATTTGGTCTGGTCACATGTTTCCACAGCCCAGTTATTAGGGACATGGGTGATGGGACGGGCTGTTTATATCAGTGCCAATCAATATTCTGAACAGAGTGATCAGAACTATATTTGTTCCCTGAGGCCTTCGTGTTCCGTTAGCTTTAGAGTACTGATGACTAGGATTCAGCCTTTGGGGCACAAAGATGGTGTGTTTGCCCTAGGTTTTTACAGCATAGGTCAGCATTTTGTTTGCTCTGATGGGACCGGTCTCGTTCCAAGGTCTTGTTCCTAGCCCAAGGTCCCAGAGTAGACCGAATGGTTTTATTTGTTCTCACAGAAATTACTGTACCCTGTTTTCTCTGTGGACAGGGTGTCCTGTGCCCAGGCCAGAGCCGATGGATGAGCTGGAGCTCAGGCAGGCAGTAGGGACCATGAAGAACGACCTGGCCCAAAGCACTTGTCCAGGTGAGTAACTGAGGGGCAGCCAGGTGGGGGGTGGGGAGCCTGCAGACTTCAAGGTGCTTTGTGTTGTTACCTGCCTAGGGATGTGGGTGCCAGGAAGCCCTTTGCCCTGTGCTTCATCTGTCTTCCTCTCCCTTCAGACTCTTGAGTTTCTTGGAGAAGGGTGGAATGCTTTTGGCAAGATCCTGCTCTGGGCTAACTCTACTCCAACCCCCGTTCCTCCTCTCTCTCATGTGTGCAACTTTTCTCTGTCACTCAGCCAGTCAAAGCTGGATATGCGCAAATTAACTCTGTCCTCTGGAGAGTCCCTGCTGACTCATTCTTCATGCAGTTTTGTTAATTCACTATAGTGCCACAAGATCTATAGACTTAATTGTACTTGCAGTTAGTGACCCAGTACTATCACCCCTTCAGGCACGGTCTGCGAGAATTCCCAACAAGAGGGTTCCCAGGATGTGCTGCATTGTCTTCCACTTATGGATGGACATCGTTCCCAGAAGCCTCAAAGACAGTCTTCTGAGGCCTCAGTACATATGTATGACCGTCATGCTGCTAACTGCAAGGCTAGTGGTACAAACCTAAGAGAAAGAGGAGGAGTTCTGTTCCCATAAAGATTTCAACCTGGGGAGCCCACAGGGGCAGCTCTACTCTGTCCGACATGGTTGTTAATGAGTCAGCATTGGTGGCGATGAGTTTTGGTGAACATTCCACTCAGGAATATGCATGGCTGCATCATGCCCCTGCACCTTCCTGAAGTTAATTAATCAGGATGGGGCCCGTGTAGCCTCTGTGTGGTTATTTTAGAAAGCTCAAGCTCCTTAACTGCTCAGGCTATTTGCAGAAACCAAGTAGAAAAGGTCAAATCAAATTCTTTGCCCCACACTGTACCATCTCCGACCCCCACTATCCTTGTGGAAATGGACTCATTGCTCCACGTCTTCATTAGCACTCGGTAATGTCATCCCCTGTGTTCTGTGAGGCCCAGATGAGAGCTTACTCTGCACTGGAGCATGGAAGCCTTCCTTGAGGAGGCCACAGCTATCTTCCAATGACAATGATGAGGATGCTGAACACCCTGCAGAGAGCGCGCTTTGCAAACACTTTCCCATTCAACTCTCGTGACAGGCTGGGAGGCCAGCACTGAGAGTTTCTCCCTCTGTCAGATGAGGGACTTGAGACTTAGCAGTACGGCAGAGAACTTGTCCAGTGTCATCTGAGTGGTTATGAGCAGATGTGGAAAAGCCTTCACTCTTAATCTCTGTACAACATGCACTTACTGTGCAGCACTGGACTTTACATGCTTGAGCCCTTTCCCAGTTCTCCCTGGAGCTCTTTCTTCTCTGATTAACTCTAATTGACTTCATTAGGCATCTTGCAGCTTAATCTTTTAATACTCCTCGGGGTTACTGTACATGTGCTTATGCCGTCAACTTCTTTGCCTCAACATTCGTTTCCAGCTGTATTTTTTTTGACTGTCCCATAATAAAAGTGATAACTACACGTATTGTTACCTTGCTTGGAGACCATCACCATACTGAGTATGCTATGGGCACTGTTCAAGGTTCTGTAAATGGAATCTTTTCACCTGTTTTTTTCAGGAGGGAAAATGGGGGCGCAGGCATTTGAGTGGCTTACAGTGAGTTCTTCTGGGACTTGAGCCTAGGTTTTTTGGGGGGTTGGAGTGCAAACGCTTAACCATAGTACTCAGTTATTCTCCACATTTCTTTTCTGGGCCTCAGACATACTGATTTAGATCAATTGTAAGCCTCTGTTAAAATGACACCCTTTCATCATTGGTCCGTGGATGCTTCTGACTTAAGTAATTTTAGTTTGCTCATTAATTCATTTTAAAAATAATACCTTGAATAACATTACCCAACCCAAGAATGAAAACACGACAAGTAGTCCCCAACTTATGTCATATTCTGGTTAGGACAAACTCATCATTTCTTTTCCTTCTTACACATTATATAGTTAGTAATTTTATAAATTTGTATTTTATAACCAAAACCAAACTCCCTGCTGTCAAGTTGATGCGGACTCACAGTGACCCTAGAGGGCAGGGTAGAACTCCCTTTGTGGGTTTCTGAGACTATAACTCTTCACGGGAGTAGAAAAGCCGGAGGACTGGCTGATGGTTTTGAATTGCTGACTCTGGTTAGCAGCCCAGCTCGTAACCACTGTACCCACCACAGGGGCTCCTCTGTATCGTACAGCAGTGCATACTTTGCTGACGTCTTATGTTCACCTGTGGATGTTCACTTGTACAGTTCAGAACACTCTCAGAGTTATAGTCCCTGATAGTAAAATGTGATAATAGCAGAAACTTTAAAGGAATGTGAAGTATTACACTTATGTCACGGCTGAATTACAAGAGAGCAGAGCACAATCCTGGTATAAATTGACCACCTGTATGCCTGTTTCCTTCTCTTCCCCATTCTCGTGTCTCCTCTGCAGTGTCAGTCTGGGTGGACTAGAGAAACAAATTCATAGATACTCATATGTATATGAGAAAGAGCTTCATATACAAGAACAATTGAATATTGAGAAAATATCCCAATGCAGATCAGATCCATAAGTCCGATATTAGCCCATATGTCCAATACCAATCTATAAATTCCTCTTTAAACTCATGCAACACATGCAATGACTCTGAATGCAGGAAGATCACAGGCCAGTGAGTGGAAAGTCTTGTGGATGCAGTGGCAGTAGAAGCATCTGAGTGCTGGCATGGGTCTCCATATGTCTCTTCTAGCTCCAAGGCTCTGGCTCTATCAGCATGTAACTCCATGTGTCTTGCCATCAGGAATACCTTGTCATCAGGAAGTGAGAGTATGTCCCACCTCCAGAGAGCTATTTATCTCCTTAGCACCTCCACATAAGGTCATCAAGCTGTTCATCAAGCTGTGACCTGATTGACAGGCTTAACACCACTTCACTCTTAAGAGTCTCAAGTTGACAACAGATTGTGTAACTATCACATCTGCAGAAAAAACAGTTACCTGAATTTGTTTTTTAATCCCGACTGTTTTGGGGTTGTTTTTTTTCCCTCCTGTCTTTTTGCTAGCACAGGTATTACATATAAATTAGATTTTTTTTAGTAGATATTGGCATCTTTAAATTTTCTGTTTCCTTATGTGTTAAGATCTCTATTTTTATAGATCTTTAATGTCTGCCTTAAAGACAAAAAATCATACCAGATTATGTCACTTTTGCTAGTCTTTTCATCAAACATACCCGACCTCAGCATGTCCACCCAGATCCCGTTTAGTTCTGTCTCTCAAGCCCCTGGCTTAGGAGTGGCAGTGACCACCCTGTCACCCTTCTCAATCTATCCTTTCTCTCTGTTAGGATATATCTTATAAGATGCCTCTTTTGTGACATCTCCTGGTCCCTTCTGTTACCAGCCGAGCTACCATAAGCCCCCTTTCCCTGACTCTTTGTAGTACCTTGAGATGTCCTGGTTTGGAGCATGCTCACCACATTCCTCTGGCCTCTTGTTGCCAATCTTGACTGTAAGCACGAGTCTCTGTGCTAGACTCTGTGTCGCCTCCCCAGACTCGCCCTCTGGGTTTCTCTCTAAAGGTTTAATTTAAGTCTGAATAAGAAACAAAAGAAAGGTCAAATCCGAGTTTTAGGCATATCAAAACACAGCAAGTACAGAGGCATGATTTCCATTTACATGTTCTCACTGAAGTGGTGATATTGTTTCTTCTGTATCATGGGTGCTATGCTAATCACTAATAACTGATTTGTGTACTGCACTCCCTTCAGGTGAGAATGAGAAGGATGACACAACAATACCTATCACTTGTGAGCTGGCCTTGTCTGATGAAGTGTTACCCCAGGAAAAACTGAAGCAGGGTGCCCCAGGGAACTTCAGGTCGGAGAGAACCATAGATCAGAAAGGACCATGGTGTATGCAGGAAGAAAACGTAAATCCAAGGATAGACCTCCAGAAGGAGATGCTCCCCAGAAACATGAGCCCAGAACGTGATGGCGTGTGGACAGATGAAAATATCCATTCGTGGACTGTACAAAAGCGAATCCTTCCAGGAGATACTCTCTTTGTTCATGATGCAGGACAAGGTAAAGATCCTTCAGTTCATGAAGAGAAAAAGCACTATAATTGCAAAGAATGTAGCAAAGTGTTTGACAAGAACTGCCTCCTTGTTATACATGAACGGGTTCACTCTGGGGAAAAGCCCTATGAGTGCACAGAGTGTGGGAAAGCTTTTAGCAAGAGCACACACCTTCTTCAGCATTATATTATTCACACCGGGGACAAGCCCTATGAGTGCACTGATTGTGGAAAGGCCTTCAATCGCAGGTCACACCTCACACGGCACCGGCGGATTCACACTGGGGAGAAGCCCTATGAATGTACTGAATGTGGAAAGGCCTTTACCCACCGCTCCACTTTTGTCTTACATAAGAGGAGCCACACAGGAGAAAAGCCTTTTGTGTGCAAAGTGTGTGGAAAAGCTTTTGGTGATAGGCCAGGCTTCATCCGGCACTATGTCATACACACAGGAGAGAAGCCCTGTGAGTGTGCTGAGTGTGGGAAAGCCTTCAAACACAGGTCATACCTTACATGGCATCAGCAGGTTCACGTTGGAGTGAGACCCTTTGAATGCAACAAGTGTGGAAAAGCCTTCTGTGAGAGTGCAGATCTCATCCAACACGACATCATCCACACCAGGGAGAAGCCCTACGAGTGCACCGATTGTGGGAAGGCCTTCAACCGCAGGTCACACCTTAAGCAACACCAGCGGATTCACACTGGGGAGAAACCTTATCAGTGCAGTGAGTGTGGGAGGGCCTTCACCCACTATTCAACTTTTGTTCTACATAAAAGGAGCCATACTGGGGAAAAACCTTTTGAGTGCAAAGAGTGTGGGAAAGCCTTTAGCGATAGGACAGACCTCATTCGCCACTACAACATCCACACCGGGGAGAAGCCTTATGAGTGCATAGAATGTGGTAAGGCCTTCAACCGCAGGTCACACCTCACGAGACACCAGCGCATTCACACTGGGGAGAAGCCCTATGAGTGCACTGAGTGCGGAAGAGCCTTTTGCCGAAGTACCAACCTCATTCGACATTCCGTGATTCACACTGGAGAGAAACCATGTGAGTGCAGTGACTGTGGGAAGGCCTACAGTCACAGCTCATCCCTCACTCAGCACCAAAAGATTCATATTGAGAGAAGTCTTGTTAGTGTACTAGACGTAGAAAGACCTTTCACAAATGAGAAAACATCAGTCAACATCCAAGGACTGCCCCTGGGGATGGACTCTTTGAATGTAACCACTGAGGAAAATTTTTGGTCAGAGGAAACATCTTACTCAATGTCTAATCATTTACACCAAAGGGGACTCCCATTAGATTCACCCCCATCATGAAAGCATTCCAGGGAAGACGATGGCTTGTCTTCAGAGACATTGTAGAAATTGATCCACCTCGAGACTGGCTCTACATCTAAGAATTGATCAAGGGGCAAGAGCAAGTGGTTATTGTGCACTTAGGAGAACCTTCAGCCACATCTCTCTTCTTAGTTTACACTTCACAGTTATCTCAGGATGATTTCTTTAAAGCACGGGGGATGTAGAGCAGAAACACATGGAGCCAGTTTACATCATACTTCCTACCAAGCCTATGTCAGTTTGTCCTTTCCCTTTTGTGGGAACGGTAGTGGGACGTCAGAAGTGAAAGGATCTCATCTCATTGATTTACATGTACAAAGGAAAGTCAAACTATTGCTACAAAATCATAGAAACCTTTATTTAAAAATATTAAAATGTAAGGTTACTATGTCTGGATATATCCTCTACACCAGTGGTTCTCCACCTTCCAAATGCCGCAACCCTTTCATACAGTTCCTCCTGTTGTGGTGACCCCCTCAACCATAAAATTATTTTTGTTGTTGCTTCATAATTGTAATTTTGCTACTATGAATCAGGCAACCCCTGTGAAAGGGTCATTCGGCCCCCAAAGGGGTCACAACCCACAGCTTCAGAACCACTGCTCTATACACTTAATGATGGCAGTGTTTCCATCTCTCTATCCTTTCCCCAAAGACATAAGGGCTTTTGCATTTACACCACATTAAAATGACAGTTTGGACATCAGTGTTTGAACACAAATTTGAATTTAGTTAGACAACCAAAGGATTCATTAATTGTGTTTCTTTTAAAAACTTTTGAGTTTAGGGGAGAAGTCTGAATGGGGCAAGAAAGGACTGTCGGGTGGATGGGGTATGTATTCTTAATGAAGTTTTTGTAGCTCAGCCCTGGCTATGTGCAAAGAATGGGCAGATGCATTGTGATAGAAGAAAAATTACTCAGCAAATGTCCTAGCCTTTTTCTTAGTGATGCTATTATTTATTTATCTATCTATCTATTTATTTATTTTAAAAATCTTCCTAATAAACTGATCATCCTGTGTCCTTTGAGAATATCTATTAAGATTGCTCCTTGGGAACCCCCACAAACAGTTGACAACCTTTTGAGCAGACTTCTCTGCCCTGAATTGTACTGGCCCAGCAGATTGCTGTAGAATCCACTGCTTTAATTGGACCTTTTTTAAAGGCACCTAAACACAACTAAGATAAAGTGTCTTATTGAGAGTAGTAGTTTGCCGCCATCCACTAATCATAGGAAATATATTAAAACACATTTTGTTTGGAATAAACTTGGGCAAACAACCCTGGTAGCAATACTTTTTTTTCCTCCATTTTTTCCAAAGCTTTTAGTGAATTATTTTGGGGTCTACATAGCAGATCATTCTTTACAAACGCTTTACCGGCATATATATCACCTATCATACGATAGAATCATTGAGTCATCTTAAGGCCTGTGCGATCACCACCACCATCAACTTCAGAGCATTTTCTTCCGGTGTGCATTAGCTCTCCATCCCCTGTCCTTCCCCGCCATGTCGTTACCGTCCCTGGGTCTTATATGCAGAAAATCAGGCACAACACAAATAGGCAAATGAAAAATTCAACAATGAATGGGTGAAAAATCAAAAAGAAAAGATTAAAAATGGGTCAGAAGAGATCAACTGATAAGGTATTACATTTTAGCTACATTTGCCATAATCTACAGTATTCTCTGATAAGACTTAGTCACATCTTTCCACTGGTCAGAGGACATTCACTGGGGGCTTAATCCATGTGTGGACCCTGCAAATGGATTCTGGGCTTCCACTGTTACCCATAATCTGCAAACCAGGTGTTCACAATTTAAGCTCTGAAACCATTCCGACCTTCAGATTTGGGTTTTATTATCCATAATCCTTCAGTCACACAGTGTGTGCTTCTTCCACAGGGGTTAGATAGCTGTTTGTTCTTTAAGACCCCAGACACTGTGCTCTCTGATAGCCAGGCAAAAGCAGGAACTCTTTGACTTACTCAGACATTCATTGCTGTCCAGTGTCAGAATTAGATAGCTGAGGATAGGGCTAAAAATATGTACTGAACACCTTTGGTCCACATTGCCTTTCTGATGGTTACGAAGGCTTGAGCTGTGAGGGGTTTCATATTTAACGAGAAAGATGGAGCCTAGTTGGAAAAGTGAATTTATACGTGTCATTTTGGGGCCTCAGAACTAATTATTTGGTCTTCCATTACTTTTTAAAAGATCATTTTATTGGGGGCTCATATAACTCAACATAATCCATATACACATCAATTCTGTAAAGCACATTTTGTACATTCGTTGCCCTCGTCATTCTCAAAACACGTTCTCTCCACTTAAGCCCTTGGCTTCAGCTCCTCATTTTTCCCACTCCCTCCCCGCTCCCCCTCTCTCTTGAACCCTTGATAATTTATAAATTATTATTTTGTCATATCTTACACTGTCCGACATCTCCTTTCACCCACTTTTCTGCCCCCAGGGAGGTGGTTATATGTAGATCCTTGTAATCGGTTTCCCCTTTCCACCCCACCCTGCCTCCACCCTCCTGGTCTCGCTATTCTCACAGTCTTCCTTTATTTCTTATGGGAAAAATATGTTCCATTCTCAAACTTTTCAGTATTTGAACAAAAGTTTGAACTTAGTTAGACAACCTAAGGACCACTGTAGGGTTGCTGTGAGTTGAAATTGAGTGGGTTTGGGTTTTATTTGGTAAGGGTATACATATGGATTAGTAGTTTACTGGGCCACTCAAGATCTTACGAGTCTTTTTTTTTTTTTTAACTAAAATTTTAAATATTGAAAGATAGTCTTCCCAATACAATTGTTTTGATCCCAATCAGTTTGCCTGTATTTTCTCCTTTATTTTCTGTGTGGTATTGGGAGGATAGAGTACCTGTGTGACTTTCCCAATTGAGTCCTAATCCTCACAGGGGTTTCTCAGTTCTATTAATCCTTGTTAAACATGTCCTCCCCAATGGTATTCTAAGGATCAAATGAGTATTACAACAAAACAACTTAAAGAATCAGGATAACTCAGGGGAAGGAGGGGAATGGAGAAATCTTAGTTTGCAACTTAAAAGACGTGAAAATTTACTGTAAAGTGAAATTTTTGGAATTTCCACAGCTAAAACAATGTGTCCTTACACATATCTGTTAATTTCACAATTATTACCATTCACTCATTGATTATAGTATTTTGGTATTTTTTTGGTAGGTATATTCTTTAAGCTGGATTTTGGGCTCTATGTTTAAGAAAATAGCATAGAACTAATCCTGGACCCACTTTGAATGCTCCTCATGGTGTTATCTGGTGGTAGTGTATGGGGCATTAGGCTGCTAACTGAAGGGTAGTGGTTCAAATCCACCAGTTGTTCCTCTGGAGAAAGATGAGGCTGGCTGCTTCTGGGAAGGTTTACAGTCTCAGAAGCCCTCTGTAGGGTCACTACTATGAGCTGGAACAGATATGATGGCAGGGATGGCAGTCTCACACTCATGGGACTTGCCTAGGGGGTCTAAAGGGAAGACCTCTGATCAATAAGTAGCCAGATGGCTTACAACCAATCTTGTAAGCTTTTCTTCATCTACACGTGTGCATGTGTCCCACCTACAACAGCGATGAATTGATTGGTAGTCTATCATAATTCTGTGATTTGTTTTCTGTAGCCTATCAATGAACTGCAAGAGCATGATTTCTTTGGGGACCATGATAGGCTTCCTGCCAATGGCCTCGCTCATCTGGATGATCTCTCATTGTCTTTACTCTGAATTTGCAGTGGTCTTCCTCACCTCCCCAAAGAACAGTGCTTACTATCAAAAAGATTGGCAGTTCATACCCACCCAGACGTGCTGCAGAAGACAGGCCTGGTGATCCGCTTCTGGAAGGTCACAGCCTTGTCATCCCGATGGAGTAGATCTACTCAGCTGGCATAGGGTCACCTTGAGTGTAAACCGATGAAGAAGCAAAAGAAGGAACGCAGGAACCAACAACAATTCAAAAGAGAAACACAGCCTCAGCAACACCGACAGACTGAGTTGAACTTCCCCCCAGGGTTTCAGAGGCTGAACTTTAGTGAAGCCACAGCTCTCTCCTGGGAAACAGCTGGTGGAAGGGAACTGCCGACCAAGTGCTTTAGCCATAGCACCACCAAACCAAACCAAATACTGCCATCTAGGAGATCCTGACACACAGCGACGCTGTGAGACAGGGTAAACTGTCCCTGAAAGTGTCCTGGATTGGGACTCTTTACATAGGGTCGCTGAGTCCCAACTCAACGATATCTAACAACAACTCTTTACTGGAGTGGGCAGCCTCATCTTTCAAAGAGGCTGATGGTTTGAACTACTGACCTTGAGGTTAGCAGCCCAACGTGAAACTACTGTGTCCCCACCACCACCAGTGCTGCTGAAAACATTAAAAAACCTCCCTACCATTGAGTTGACTCTGAGTCATAGTGACTCCAGGCCAGAGTACAGCTGCCCCTGTGGGTTCCCAAGATGGCACTGCTATGTGGAGAAGAAGCCTTGCTTCTTCCAAGGAGCCCCTCGTGGTTTCTAACTGTTGACCTTGCGAGTAGCAATTCACTGTAGCAACCACTACACCATCCCACAGTCGAGGTCCACTCATTCATTTTCCAGTTGGAATCAGTCCACAAAGCTTAGAGTTCTCCCAGAGTTTCAGGTGCAAAGAGGAGGAAGTGACCACCTGCTGGAGATCCTTGTATTTTTATTTTCCCCCATCGTTTTTTAAACAAGTTTTATTGGCATATGATTCACATGCAATTCAGCAGTTCAATCACATCAAGAAGAGTTGTACAATCAGTACCACCATCAGTTTTAGAACATTTTCTCCACTCCTGCCCTCATTGTTATTAGCTCCCCATTTCCCCCCAGACTTCTGACTGCCCTGGCTTTGTCCTTGGTGGCTATGGTAATCTTGGTGTGTCCTCTTAAAAAAAAATCACTGTGTGGGGGGGCTCTTACAGATCTTAAAACAATCCATACATCAGTTTTATCTAGCACATTTGTACATACATTGCCATCATTATTTTGTAAACATTTACTTTCTATTTAGCCCTTGGTAACAGGTCCCTTTTTTCCCCTGCCTCCCCCACCTCCCTCATGACCCCTTGATAAATTATAAATTATTATTGTTTTCATATCTTAACACTGACCACTGTCTCCTTACACCCACGTTTCTGTTGTTCATCCCCCTGGGTTAGGGGTGGGGGGCGGATGGTGTGTCCCCTTTAAAAGGAGTTTGTCGCTTCAGGACGCGGACTTTTGGGCTCTCCACTGAAGGTTGCAGTCCGCCAAACCACTGTCTCCTAACTAGGGAAGGGTGCTCAACGTCTGCTTGGATGCAGCGTACAGACTACATTACCCATAAGTCATCCCGGCACCTTAAGCCAATGGCAGCCCAGGGCGTGGGCGTTCCTGGCTGCTAGGGCGGTACTTCCGGCGTCACCGCCATGGACGTCATTTGCCTGCGCCGATCTGTCAGCCGCACGGTGGATCCCGGTTCGCAGCCTCTGGTTTGAGGTGGGCTGGGAAGGGCCCCGACGAGGGCAGCACCTTCCCCGCGCCTTTGCTGCGAGCCGCGTCCAGGTCGGTGAGGGCCGCCGCACCTGACCTCGCGGCCCCCGAGTGTGCAGCCGTTTCCCCCGGGGAAGCCGGAGGTCACAGACCAGCTGGGGTGTCAGGGTTCGGTCGCGACGCGCCCGTCTGTCAGTCTCCCAGGACTCGGTCCAGCCCGCGGGATCCCATGGCGCCGCCGCGGACGGCCTGGGCTCAGGTGAGAGAGGGTCTCGTGTGCGCCCCCGCTCACCTGCCGGGGATGGATGGTGCGACTTGGCGCTTTCAGCTCTCAGGCTGCTCCGCGGGAGAAAGGTGAGGCTACCTGCACCTGCCAAGAGTTACATCCGACCACGTCCAGTTCTACCCTGACCCGTAGGGTCGCCCTGAGTCGGCGTTGACACGACGGCAGTGCGTTGAGTTTTCACCGCCAGGACCTGGGCCTCCGGAGGGCAATCACTCTCGGAGGTTATGGGAGAATTTCCAATTCCCGGCGACCCGTGGGATGAACTCTGGAAGGGTGCCCAAAGCTGAGGAACCAGTTTGTACAAATCCTTGGAGACGAGAACGAATTAGGGGTGTTTCGGGTTAGTTTTGGCTCTTGGTTTCAGAGATCCAGAGCACAGGAAACGGTAGACATGGCGGCCCCTCGAAGTGAACGAATGTGTCGGAGGGTGGTGGGAACCACACAAGGCTTGTAACAGAAACTGCAAGTGTTCTGGTTCCCGTAGTAGCAAGTCGCCTCTGCCTGCAGAGTGGAGACCTGATTGGGATGCCTGAATTTTCTAGAGAAACAAGACTAGTGACATTAGAGATATATAATATATATAGATGAACTTTGTGTGGTGAAAAGGTGGGTCCGCAGCTAGCTGGAACCCCCTCAGACTGATGCAGCTTCCCGCTAAGGCAGGAGAGTGAAGAGACGTAGGGAAATCCCAGGCTAGTGGAAGAGTTATGTGGATCCAGGGTTCCACGGGAACGTGACAGGGCACCACAGCGCCCAGGGCCGCGCCACCGAGGCAAGTAGATAGGTGAACATCAAGAGAGCTCAGTCCTCTCATAAAAAGGTCACACTCCCAAAGGGGCTTCACCAGGTTATGACCTGATTGAGAGGTTAGACCCCACCCCTACCTCTGCACAGGGATATCAAGTTGACAAGATCTAACCATTACAGGTGGGGAGCCAGAACGGAGTCTACTTCTCTACTGCAGTAACACAGATGATGGTGGTCATCCAGGTCAGTGGACCAGAGTGGTGGCTATGGAAGTTAGAGAAGTGGGTGGATTTTGTATGTGTGTTTTTTTTAAAGTAGGCCCAACCAGGTTTTCTGATGAGAATTACTCTCCTTTGTCTTCGCTTGATTCTGGGGTCCCTGGTTCCAGAATTCAGGCCAGAGGTTTAAATGGAGAGGTTCCCATTTCTGGAGACCAGTGGGATGAAGACCAGAGGGTGTAATAGACCCAGGAACGGGCATGTTTAGGTGCTTGGAGGTGAGGATTATTTGGGAATGTTCAAGGGACGACGAAACAGAACGCCCTGCCATCACGTTGATGACGACTCCTAGCAGCCCTGCAGGACAGGGTAGAACTGCGCGTAAGCATTCCCAAGGTTGTAACTGTTTACAGGAGTTGAAAGCCTTGTCCGTCTCCCATGGAGCATCTGGTGGTTTCCAACTGCTGACCTTGCAGATCGCAGCCTAACTCGTAACCGCTACACCACTAGGGCTCCTGTGTTCAAGGAACATTGTCTTAATTATGCTTCTTGGAACAGAGAGCAGGGGACCAGAGTCAGGCAGGACATCTGCCGGAAGAGCTGAACCTCTGTTCCAAGGGTAGTGAAAGCCAGGGATGCTGTGGCGCAGAAGAGACAGCTGATCTGACTCAGCCGTAGGCAAGAGCCCATGGAATGGGTCCGTGTGTACTGATGGTGACTGGAAGTAAACGAAGTGGTTGACTTCGCTATCTGCTTGTTAAGTTCATTGGCTAGATTTTCTGATTCGAGAGGTGAACTAAGAAAGGAAGGAGAAAGGAGGGTCTCGGCTTTTTGGTTTTAGCTGGAAGAATGGTGGGTGTGTCATCAACGGAGGGAGCTGATGGGTCAGAGCTGTTTTCAGGGACTGGGTCAGGAGCTTGGTTTCGAGATGTTCCAGAGAGCCCTCAGTTGAGGCATCTAGCTGGGCATATAGGTTCTGGGGAGTGGTTCAGGCTGAAAAATGGAGTCAGATGGAACCATGAATTAAATTCAGGAGGGCTATCAGGTCAGTAATCTCTGGGTGGTGAGCACGTTGTACTTGGTAACTTACCAAAGAGTTCATGTGCAACCAGAGGAACCTCAGAAGGCCTCATGGTCAACTTCTGAATGATCATGTTTTGTTGGTACAGACTGTTGAGTTGGCTGTGGTTTATAGTGGCCCATATGTACCACAGCGCAAAAGCTGCCCCATCCTCTGCCAACAGTCGTGGCCGTATTTGAGCCCATTTGTCAGTTGTTATCACTGAAAGTTTCTCTCTTTTTTGCTGACCCTCTGCTTTAGCAAGAATGACGCACTTCTCCAGGAATTGGTACATCCTGATGACATGTCCAAAGTACACGAGATGAAGCATCTTTACCATCCTTGCTTCTGAGGAGCATTCTGAATGTACATTTTCCAAAACATATTTGTTCAACTTTCTGGCAGCCCACAACCATTGAAGAGGCTACTTTCACACACATTGGGTCACCATCAGTCAGAATCAACTCAGGAGCACTGGTTTATCTTCAAGTTGTGGTGGCGGGGCCAGGAGTGAACAAGGGAATGAGAAAGTGGAGACTGGGTTTCTTCTCTTTTTTTTGTTTTGACTGGGTCTCTTCTTTGGGCACCTGAGTTTTGAGTGTTACAAGGACAGATGAGCACTAGAGAAACAAATTCATAGATACTCATATGTATAAGAAAGCTTTATATAAAAGACCAATTGAATATTGAGAAAACATCCCAGTCCAGATCAGGTCCATAAGCCAAATATTAGCCCATATGTCCTATAGCAATCTATAAAGTCCTCTTCAGACTTACAGAACACATGCAATGACACTGAATGCTGGAAGAGCACAGGACAGAGGTTGGAAAGTCTTGTGGATCCAGTGGCAGTAGAAGCATCTCAGCGCTGGCAGGGGTCTCCACGTGGCTCCTTTAGCTCCAGGGCTCTAGCATAGCTCTGTGTCTTCTCAACAGGATGTCTCGCAGGGAATGAACATGTGTCCCTCCTCCAGTGAGCTATTCATCTGCCTTGTGCCTCCAAATGAGGTCATCAAACTGCGACCTGATTGACAGGCTAAACTCCACCCCTTCACTCCTAATAGTCTCAAACTGACAACAGATTATGTAACTGCTACAAGCACTCCCTAGGTACCAGGTGCAGAGTGGCATACAAGATGCTATAGAGATATGTATATGCTGTTAGCCAGGGGTTGGGAGGAGCGTGAATTAAACTCCTTAAGACCCTAGTACTGGAGGCGTAGGGACCTTGATGGCACAATGGTTAGGCATTTGGCCGCTAACTGCAAGGTTGGCAATTTGAACCCATCAGTCATGCTGTGGGAGAAAAGATCAGATGACCAGCTCAGATGAGGCCTGGCCCCTGCTTTTGAACTTAATAGAGTGGGCAGGAGGCCAACGTGTGAGTGGGTAGACTGGGAGCCCTGGGAGAGATGACACCTGTGGGCTGAGTTGTCCCCATCATCACAGGACTCCGTGACCTTCAATGATGTGTTCGTGTACTTCTCCCCGGAGGAGTGGGGGCTCCTTGATGAGGCTCAGAGACGCCTGTACCGCGATGTAATGCTGGAGAACTTTGCCTTGGTGGCCTCCTTGGGTAAGTTCCTGTTTTAGTTACCTATTGTTAAGTCGTAAATCACTGTAAAACTTAGCAGTTAAAAGCAACAGAGAACCGTTTTCCCTCTTTTTTTTAAGGGTTGGGAACCTGGCGACAACTTACCTGGATGCTTTTGGCTCAGGGTTTCTCATGAGTGGCAGTCAAGCGGCTGAACACAGCTGTGGCCGCATAGGAAGGCCCACCTGGGGAAGAATCCGGGTTTACGCTCACTCACGTGATTTCACGCAAGGTTTCCTTTCTTTGGGGCTGTGAACAGTAGTCCCATTTGGCTGTTGACCTGAGGCCTTAGTTTCTTGTCATGAGAGCATTCCCATAATATGCCGTAATATGGAAGCTAGCTTTTCTCAGAAAAAGCCATCAAGAGAGTGTCCAGGATTGAAGCCAGCTTTTTTTTTTTTTTTTGATTTTTTAA